TTCTACAAAAAAAAGATTGTTCACATGTTTTTCTTGAATATATGGATTGTTTTTGGCATCCTTTTTGGTATAATTTCTGAACCGCTGTATATATCACTCTCACAATCCCTTTCAGAAACAATACCAATGAAGGAATATCCATGTGATGTTTCATATTGAAGAAAATCAATGAATTTGCTATCATTATGCTACCTATATCATTGGTATAATAGTGATATGCTTTAATATCATTATTATACCAATTCCGTAATATCCAGAAATTGTGAAAAGTCTCAATTTGAAGGAATTTGCTAGTTAATTATTTGTTTATCGTCATCTGCTCTTCATAATGTGAACAAACATTCTGATCGGAAGATGATATTTGAAAATTTTTGAATTTTCTGTTTCTGTTTTCTGTTAACAACACCTCAAAACTTCTTCATGCACTATACATCCCAATAATACTCATAAAAAAGGTTACATACATGAATTTCCATTATTCAACCATCATCTGCAGTGGCGATATCCCTTTGAAATAAATAACACCCTGTCCTTATCCTTATGAATGAAACAATTTTATTACCAAAAATCGGGAAACCAACAAAAACCAAACAAATTTTTGCTGGGGTTTTTTAGATCGACGGAAAATGAAAGTAGGTACTTTATATTCTGAACAGAATCGTTTTTATTGTTCACACATACGATAACACGCAGAGAAAGGTCTGGAAACTTAATTGACCATGAACGTAATGTCTCAAAAGTCCCGATGCATTCAACATACTGCAAGAATGCATCGTGTAAAAACAAGAATTTTGAACTGAATGGGTTTATTTTCGATCTCACGAATGGGTGATATATTTATTATTTGTTGATACAAGTCTCTGGAAATATTTGTATGACTGTGTATTTTCGACATCGCCGTAATAAATATTATCATTCGCAGAAAAGCCACCAGGGAAACCAATATTTATAGATGATTCTGCTTATTTACTGTGAAGAGAACTTGTTCGCGAAAATGCTGCGAACTAATTATGAATATAAATCGGTTCAAATCATGTTAGCTGGTCTGAAAAGTTTTTAGGCTAACAGATAGATGGCGCCACTAGTAGTGGATGACTTTCAGTCAACCATAACCTTCAAAAGACAAGTGTACAAATTTCACAACTGTTGGACTAATAGTTTGTGGGCTAGAACATTATGAGTGACGTAACTCTTGTTGGTTTGAGAAAAATTGATAAAAAAAAATTCGTATGTTAATGAAGTATCGCTTTCTGGAAAAAAAATACCACTGAAGCCTAGGCTAGGCTTGATAAACATCATTCGGAGTAACGTCATGGTTCCTTTATTACATGGTGATTCCTAACTACGGTACGAAACTTCAGAGGGTAATTAATTAGATTGTTTCAAGAAAAAAAGTTCTCATGAACAATGTCCGGAGTTGCTTCGTTTCTGAGATACAGGGCGTTGAAGTTTGAAAAAATAGGGGTATCTATAAAATATCCTTACACCGATTTGGTTGAAATTTGCTACAGTTATTCAAAGTAATAGGGTGCTTATTTAGACCTAACTAGATTGAAATTATTAAGTCCAGCGACGTCTCAGCCAACAATATTGAGAAAAAAAAAACGCCGCTCACTTTCTTGTACTTTCTTATTTTTGTAGGTTATTCAACTTTTTCGTCGTTTGTGATTCAATCTTTGTTTACAAAAAAAAATATCGCTTTTAAAATATATCCATGGACAACATATAATTGAAACCAAAAGTAAATAATAAACAATTTTCTCCTTGAAGTAAATGAGCAAAATGTCCACCTCCTGATAAAATACACGACTGCAATCGATTTGTCGTTGATTGTCTGACACGTTGAAAAATACCTTATGACATTGGCAATTGTCAATTATTCGATTCCTCAAGTCATTCACATCTAATACAGGAGTTTTATAAACAAGAGCTTTCAAATGATACCATTGATAAAGATCTAGAGTCTAGAGGATTCATATCAGGACTGCGAAATGACCAAATTTGAGTTCATGCACGTCCAATCCAACGATTAGAGTAGGTGATGTCGAGATGCTGACGAACAAGAACACTGAAATGAGCTGCAGCCCCGTCTTGTATGAACCACATGTTGCCTCTTAGAAATACCGCCACATTTTTTAACAAAATAGGTAAATGATCTCGCAAACAGTGTAGTATTCACTTGTTAATCTTGCTGGTAGAAAAAATTGGCCATTTAGGTAGACACCAACCATTCCTATCCAAACGTTCAGCGAAAATTGTTGCTGAAAATGACGTGGAGAGTTTCGTCGGCCCAAAAATGGCCATTGTGAAAGTTCATAATAGCATCTCGTAAAAAATTTGCTTCATCCTAAATAAAATATTTGGTTAAAAATTATCATTATGTGCTATCGTATGAATCAACCAGCTACAAAATATTATTCTTGTTCGAAAATCCCGAGGTAGTAGAGCTTGGATCCGCCATATGTGATATGAATATAGGAAGTTTATTTTCAGAACTGTCCATATGGTTTTGGGCTAACTTCCAACTGCATTGCAATCTTCCTGGTACTATTTGAGAGATCTTCTTCTATCGCATCAAGTATAGCTTCTTCTAGTTCAGGCGTTGATACAGTTTCTAGTCTTCCACCACCTGCATTTTTATTAAAACTCCCAAAATCTTGCATTTAGCGTTCTGAATGTTTCAACAGTTAGCACATGGAATCACTCCGTTAAGATATTGTAACGAATCTGAAGTCGCCCCTGACCGATATGCCGGCCAGCAACAAACACATGACATCACCGCAAAAAGAATGCAGTCGGCAACCACCGGTGAAACTCTAGTTGAGTATCGACCCGACTACAGATTTCTAGAAAGAACCTTTACTTATTTGTTTGAAGGTAGTTGAAAATGTTTTGTTGTGTATTTCATCAGTTGGGACTTTCATTGTCTAATATAATATAAATTGATTTGAAATCCCTGAAAGAATCTGTGGAAAAATTGAAAAGATTAACCGAAAAAATAACAATTTCATTTAACAAAAACGTAATATTACAAAGAAATAACATACAAACAACAACCAATAAAATAAAAAATTAAAATATCATTATAAGCTGAAAAATGGAACTTAAAATATTCCAAAACAAGTTACGTCACGACGTTTCGATTGTTAGTATCCATAATCGTCTTTGAAATTGTTATATGGTGGAAATAAATTGAGCGTTAGTTGCTAAGTGTTGTAAATAAATTACTTCGTGAAATATTGTTGAAAATATTTTTTTTTAAGTAAATTCTTAAATTTGTCACAATTGGTGTCAGAAGTGGGATGAAGATGGCCTATCACTTCAAGGCGAATGCTGGAGGATTCGAAACCGGTGACCTAGTTTGGCTGTACAACCCTAAGCGACGCCGTGGTTTACTCCCGAAGTTACATAACTCGTGGGAAGGTCCGTACAAAATCATGAAGAAGACAAGCGACCTAGTCTTTCGAATCCATAAGCCATCTCAGGGAAAACCTAGGGTCGTCTATTTCAATAGATTTGCTCCTTATGCTAGAAATCACGACCAAGTTTGCGCCCTCAGACCACTATATGATGAAATCACGTTCCAGAAGTTCATGTCTTTATACTCGAACGGACAGAAGGTACATGGGGTAACTCAAGTAGAGCCACGAGACCTTTTCAAGATTTCAGTTGAACATGCACTAGCTCACTGCGTGGAAGAGGAGTGAGCTAGTGCATGATCAGGAGTATGGCTGTGGTATTCAACAAGAAATTCTGTAAGCTCCAAACATTACGAGAACAGAATCTTGAAGTCGGAGGAGTGCTACAGTTGGAGAAGGGTCAGAGAAACATTTTCTACTTGGTAACCAAAAAACATTCTCGAGACCAACCGTCCTATGAAGATGTCTGGAGGAGTCTTACCAGACTGAGGGACACGATGCTCGACCAGAATGTTGTGGCGGAAATTAGCCTCTGCGCTCGATAGGCTGGGTTGGAGAATTGTGAGAAGCCTGTTGGAAACGATATTCAGATCCAGAGACATCAAGATTTTGGTGTACGGTAACCATCTTCCACGACCGAGCATTAAGACTGTGAAGTGTTACTTCCATCGAAATATGGGTCCTGCAGGTATCGACACAAGCCAAGAATGACATTTTGAGGCGAAATGTCTTTAGGAAGTGGGCAATATAATGAATCTGAAGCCGCTCCTGACCGATATGCCGTCCAGCGAATAAACACATGACATCACCGCAAAAGGAATGCAGTCGGCAACCGCCGGTAAAACTCTAGTTCAGTATCGAACCGACTAGAGATTTCTAGAAAGAAACCCGGCTTCCCTATCCATGAGGGAGTTCAGAAAGTGAATTGAACGGTTAACCAAGGAATTCAAATAGTGAAAATAAATCAGGCGTTGCTAAGTGTTGCAAATAAAATAGTTAGTGAAATATTTTGGAAATAAATTTGTCCTGTAAATTCTCCGTGCTTCTTTTTGCATTTCCATTTGCTAATCCCTAAATGCATGTCAGCCATATCAGCGTTAGTAAAATTATTCATGATGGATTCACTGCTAATTGACATCTCTGACTTTCACTGGTATGACAATTTATGGCTTTTGCATCATGACAATACATCTGGTTACTTGTTATTACATGTCATTGGTTGTTCGTAATTTTTCAGTCAGAAATAGCATCGTAATCATGCCTCAGCCACCGTTTTCCCCAGTTTTGGCCCTTTGCGACTCATTTCTATTCGCAAAGTTGAAGAGATTTATGGAAGGACAGCGTGCTTCTACTATGTTTCCTGTATATTAGTGAGTATCGTGAAACTTTCATCTCAAACTTTCAATATATTACAATTCTGGTTTGGCGCTTCTTGAAATGTTTCAAATTCACCCACACGGCCTAGCGGCGGTCCTATTATTAACCCCTATAAAGATCATTCGAAGGAATTTAACATCGCTATCACATAGCTGACGGCCATTAGCAAAAAGTTTCTCAACAAAAAAAAATAACGCGAACGTCCTAGATAATATTTTCTAAGAAACAATGAGCACTCAAGTCGAATAAATCGTGCCACTGACCTGCAAAATGCACAGTTTCCACTTTAAACTTCTCCGCTCCGGGAATAACAAGCTGCGAACACCCCAATTGCACCCCGTGGTTGAGGATGTGCACCAACACCGCACACACGACCACCACCCACCCCCAACCGCCCTCCGGGTAATAGTGTCTCCTTAGGGTGGTCGTTTTTCGCGCGTCCAGCGGTAGCTCGGGGGGCAGGAGGGTGTCTTTGACGGCACCGTTCGGCGACGTGAGACTGTAATGATGAACGGGACATCGGATCTGAAATGAAGATATACTTGTTGATGATTTTTCAATCATTTCATAAATTGGATAATGAACAACGTGTATGTCTCACCATACAGATGAACTTGTTTAAGATGCAGACGTAAATAGCGCCCCTCCCCCACGTTGGAATGGGGCAGCATACCAAAGAGAATCATTTGTATGGGTAATTGAAATGCGTTTCATACGTGATGTCACAACACCTCCCTTTTCTTTTGAAGAGAAGCTGATAGTCCCCTCGCGTTGTGCCATTGGCGAGTGAAGTTTCTTAAGTACAAAACAAAAACACTACTGAAAACTCCTTGAGGCACTCTATGAGCAGTGCCTGTGCGGAAGTAGCGATTCACATTGGACTTGAATCGCTGGAGATTGAATCTATTTGAACAAACGTTCTCAGGAACCTTATTCCACATAAACGAAGTTCTCCAAATGAAACAGTTCTTGAACAGTGAAGTTCGAGCTGTACTGAATTGAACCTCAAAATGATGAGCAACCACAGTCCGTCGCGTATTTCTGATATGTACCGTTCTTGGTGGAATCAAATGTGTCAACTCCCTTGAGCACTTCCCGTGAGAGTATCTTCATAAAAGAAACAAATCTCCAACCTTTTTTCGATATTTCAGACTTTCAAGGTTGCAAGTGATGTTCACATCTCTAATCAAGCGGATGGCTATTTTCTGAATGGAGTCCGGTAGCTTTAGGGTATGCTCCGAGGCGGAGCTTCATACATTAGAGCAATAGTCCAACAGTTGAGCTTTATAAAGCATCAAAAGTTGTTCTGAACAGTGTTCCAAGCTTTTGAGAAGCTGCCTTTGCAATACTAGCGACATGATTGCGTCAAAACATATTGATGTCCATTCCAACCCCCAATAAATTTATCGAAGCAGAAAGCGAAACTATCTGTCTCGACATTGTTATATCCGGTTCGGAGACATGCATCTTTTTGGAAAAAACCGATGCCTGGGTATTTATGTCACTGAACCTGGTTAGTTTCACCCCAATTCGAAATCACTTTTAGATCCTCATTAAGATATGCAACCTCTTGCTGCCGGTGAATATGTGCAATGACGAGACAATTGTGCTGTTTTCAGCAAAGCAATTCATTGATTCTTGGTTCATTCTTATATGTAGTTGATATACAATAAAAAGAGGGTCGGAGACAATATAGATCCCTAGGGAACACCAGCGTTGATGGTAAAAGTATTCGAGAGATATCCATCAGGAAGCTAGAGGGCCATACACAGAAATAATCCATAGCATCGAAGGAGGGCTAGCAAACCCCCGAAGGGTATTTTTCAACAAAAGCAGTTAAACTGTTACAATTTCAAAAAAATTCTGCCCGACTCTGATATCTTGCTCTGTTTGAAAATTGAAAGAAGGAGAACTATTTTTGTCCGTACTCTATATGTTTTCAGGCCATCATCTCATTATAAATGCTACAGACACATTCGCGATATGTTCGAGGAGTTTAAATTTGTTCAATTCTAACTGGTACCTCATATACGTGTGAGAATGATAATTTTAAATGGGAAACATTCTGACTTTCATGACATACATTACATTTTTTGGGAAAGAAAGTTTTTGGCTTTCTACTACTCCATCTTGATACAAAAAAAAAGATGAGTGAATCTTCCAAAGAAAGGAAGGAAGTAATCAATTTGAAAATAAGTAACTCTATACATTACATGTTGTTCCGTTACCTTCTATCAGAAGATAGAAGTGAGTAAGATGAGTATGTCCAATGTAAAAGCGACAAAGAAATACTTGTTCTTTTCCAGAAAAATCTTTCGGTTAAGTTTATTGATATTTTACGTTTGACTATTCTCAAATATCTTTTGTAATTATCTTAGACGTCTGCCAATCCTATTTACTCTGCCACATGCCATTGAACTTTCCTTTACTAAAATTGTTTAAGTCATCTAGGAGATAGAGACCCCTTCGTTCGGCATATCGAATCCAATATCCACATTCCTAGATCCACATCCAGTGAATTATTTGTTTATTAGATGCCTATTGAGCTCTAATATCAGCTTGTCTCGTAGTCAATTATCTAGAGACAAAATGGCACTCAAGCAGTCCGGGCAAATACGGCTATGTTGTATTTGGGAATTTTCAATGCAGAGAATTGCTTATATAGCATATGAAATCCGACGTAAAAACTACAGGAATTTCCCAAATTCCATGAATGGAAGGCTTCTAAAGGTACAAAAAAGGCACCCACATCATTTTCCAGTCTTGACCATCTGTATATTTTTTCCAATTCACTTACTGATTCAATCCATGTTCATAGGCAGTTCGGCAAGTCCCTTCTTTCATAAAGATAAGTTGATATTCATGTGGAGTTTGTGAATTTTCCTCGAATTTCCTCGGTTTTCAACTAACTTTGCGTACATGGATCGCACCTGTTAACCATTGCTAAGACGAGACGTTGTGTGTGTGTATACTCGGAGTGAATCAAATGTGACATCTCAACATTTCATTCTTGTGACGTCTGTCAAGAGAAATACATACACTTTCAAAAAGAGCCGTATCTGAAAGTATTCTTGCAGATTTTAGAAACGGAGAACGACTTTTCTCCAAATCATCAGCCATATTGAATACTCGTAATATCGTCAATGAAAATTTAATTTTTCATTCATTGAGTTCATTAATAGAAGTTACTGACTGATAGAAATCTTCAAAAAGTTATATTACGCAATGACTTTTTGTGATGAACTTTTCAGTGAAAACACAAAAAACATCAAGGAAGGTTATTGTCAACTTCGTAATGTACTACTTCAGCTTCCTCAAAAGACCTTGTGATTGAAGAGAGTATACAAATTGGATGTTTTGGTTTTGGAACGTTTATTCCAAGTGAAATCTATGCATATTACTGGAGTTTTTGTCCAACACCAAATCGTTATTTCAACACTTCGACACGTGTTTCGATCACCAAGTAATCAGCTTCAAGAAGAAGATCAAACAGTTTGATCTTGATCTAATGAGGCAGCATGAACAAAAGTGTCTCCGACAAAACAAATTATAATGAGCTTGCTCGTCAGTATATCAGATCCAGCCTCATCCCTTTTCAATCACCATCTTGCATCGACTGAATGGAATCTCTGCCATGAAATGAATCCGAAATGAGTACTAGAACTTCAGTACTCTACTAGTCGTGTATTTCACCCACCAAGTAGGCATCTTCAGGAGATGAAGTAGTTCTGGTGTTTGGAAACAGACCTTGTTTCACAACAGGGCACGAAATAATAACGGCACCAAAACCATCATCATCAGGGCAATCCATGGAGATATGGAAATTGGTAGAGCCTCTCAGCTGTCTCAATGAACACATATGCAGCAAATGTAGCACTGAATATTGAATTGAAACCATGAGGTACCTGTGGAACCTCTTCTCATTGGAAGATTCATTGCAAGTAATTTCCTATAAATGAAAAGGTGAATTTATTTCACTTGGTCGGATTGACCACCGACAATCCGGTGGTCAATCAGGTTTGAATACCATACACTTGCGTCTCATATGGGATCCACAATTTCAAAGGTACGGGGGTACATTCTCGTTGCAGAAGCAACTAACTTTCTATAAATTGAAAGTTAACTGTCGTTTCATATGTTCTAAGAGATACTCACGGAATGGATCATATTTTTGAAAATTGAACGTGAAAGCAGATCGCAGACCGCAGAAAATGAAGTATCTAGAATGAATTGTGAGGCCTGTGTTAAGAAAAATATATCATACAGACCAAGCACGCCATCAGGACTCGTTTCACAGAGTTCATATCCGATTTCAGAGACAAGAAAAATCTAATCTATTGTCGCTCATCAAGCCCAGGAGAGCGGCCATAGAATAAATAAAAACAGTCTGCAATTGTTGGAATTGGTAGATGATGCTTGATTTTTGGTTACTTTCGAGAGTCTGAAAAAAGCAAAGTGTGAAATTTTCCGTAAATTTCTACCCGAAATCATTGATGTGTGACAGGATGTGGAAGTGTACCGTGTTAGATGTGAATAGAGACTGATTTCAGAGTTATTCTTCATCTCCTGAAGGCGCGAGTCGAGAAGAGTGTTGCAGTGCTGGTGCTTGTTTGGGATTTATTTCACGCTAGAGGTTTCGATTTTATCTCTCCTTTGATTTTTCATATTTAGTTCTACTTCAACATTCAGTTTGGCATTTGTGGGCTTTGTTGTTGTTTCTTCTTCAGGAATCTGCCACACGTACCTACAAAACTCCAGATATCTCATGAGAGGCAAAACTGTTGATGTGTTATATTTCTATAATAAAACCCAAGAAACTCGGAATTGTCACACATCAAGTTGATCCAGGTGGATTGAATATTCATACTGTAATCTCGATATATCTGAGGACAAACACAGTTTTACAGAAAGTTTTTTTTAACTTAAAAAACCCTTCCGATGCCTAGATCTCCCAATTGATTCCACTACCATTCGTTGGAGCTCCATAAACCTACCAGTGGATTTTAACCCTGTTGATAACTCACCTGGGGATCGGGCACCTTCTCCGTGTAGATGAAGTCCCAGTTGTCCACTTTGATGCTCGGTCTGCGACCCACGCCGTGAACGTGACTCTCCGAAACCGACTCGTTGATTGTTTCCTCGATTCGCGTAAGAGCTAACACGTGAAACTTTTGCGATGGCAAATGTCCGTTCTCGGGGTTGTCTGGTTTGATTAGCTCAGCTGGAAGTGGAAAACAGACAATTATTTCGCTCGTAGTTGTAAGGATGAAAATTAAATGGGGCCAGTTGTTACATAAAGGGTAACAAGGAGTGTATAAGGTGTTTAAGGCATATTGGAATAGTGGAGTTGAAGCCTTCTTAGATATTTTGAAATGCATGTGAGAGAAACGGGAACTGCGAAATGAATAATGAATATAACATTCAAAAACAGACCAGATGTGAAAATGAGACTTCAAAAATATGTAGATATCCATAGTGATGATGGTAATTGTGTGAAAGCTATACTCCGGGTTTTTTGGCCGTGTTGTGCAGGTTATGATGTCTGACGTTTCGTTCTCTACTGCGGCAGACATTATGAAAGGCGAAGTGGTAACGATCGCAGTGCCCGAGTTTCTGCTCGAGTTGCTGTTCTCGCTCCGAACTCAGTAACTACGATGTTAGTATTTGATTCTGGTTTTATATTATTATTATTGAGCGTGGCTTGACTCCTCTCAGTTGGATAACCTGACCTTGTTTGTATACCTATAAGGATGGGTAGCCAGATTTTATTAATGTTGCCTTTTCTTTTCTATTGTATATATTGTGAATAATTCCCTAAAATAAGGAGTTTTTCCCGACTCACTCAAGCTAGCATTAGTCAAACCCATATTGAAAAAATGGGATCCCTCTAAACAAGAAAACTTTAAACCAATCTTTAACATATTTAGAACAATAATTTGGCATTGAGATTATTTCTAGACCTGTCAAAAGCTTTTGATTGTTTAAACCACATGGTTCTTCTACAAAAGCTGGAGCCATATGGCATACGTAGCCCTGCACTGAAATGGTTTAAATCTTATATACCAGGTAGAAAACAAATGGTGTTAATCAACAAGGAAGGAATCATAAAAACAATTGATACTGGGTTGTCACAAGGTAGTATAATTGGACCAATGACGTTTATCATTTTTCTGAATAACCTGGAGGAGATTTCTGGAGAGAATTTCAAAATGACAAATTATGCGGATAACACAAACTTGCTGGTCAATGCAATAAACTATCCTGGTCTAATATCCATAACTGAATAAGGCAGATGAGTGGTTCAGGAGAAACAAACTTATATTGAATTACAATAAGACCAAAACTGTTAAGTTCAAAACAAACCATGCAAGATTTGGCTAACCTCAATAATTTCGGCTGACGAATATTTCACTCAAAATAGAAAATTAGTGCTAATTCTTAGGACTGCACATAGACAGCACACTGAGTTTCAACAGTCATACTCAAAATGTTTGTCAAAAGTTAAACTCAGTGTTGTATTCAATGAGAGTTATTGGTCAGTATGTCGACACAGATGTAATCTGAATGGTCTATCATTCAAATTTTTAATCTGTTTGCAGGTATGGGATTATTTTTTATCGAGGTAGTAGAAATGCAGAGCAAATTTTTATTGTACAAAAAAGAACTATAAGAACTATGCTGAAACTAAACTCAAGAGAATCATGTAGACGCAAATTCAGTAGTCTTGAAATATAGGAATATATATATAGGAACTCTTGTTATTCCTTTTTAGAAACAAATATCTTTTCTACCACGAAATGTATATGACACTAGAAATTTCAACTATGTATAACCAAAACATAGACTAACTGTTACAGAAAGGAGCCCGTTCTATCAAAGTATTAAAATGTTCAACAAACTCCCCACCAGCATCAAACAAATGAATAAACTTGGTGAATTTAAAAAGAGAATTCATTAGATTCTACTGAATATAGAACCCTATACTATTGCTGATCACCTCAGCCACACTGTCATAATATATCTTGCTGTTGACGTTATTTCTGTTTTTGTATCTTTTTGCGATAATTCTTCAGAAATAAATATATTTATTATTATTATTATCCTCGTGTTTTTGAATTTCTATTGCCGCTCCATACACTCTTGTGTATTAATTTCGAATTTTATCTAGTATTACTGTATCATCGAAGGAAATAGTGTGTCTGCCTTCTCTGTTGAGAGCATATTTGGCTACAGCTGATTTGTCGGTTTGTCCAACTCGAAAATTTCTCTTGGATTCAGAAAGACACTCCTTTTCGTGGTTCCAATGTAGACCGACCCGCAGCTACAAGGAATACGGTACACCCTGGGTTTTGCTGAATGTTCTATGTGCTCCTTAGCTGACGTCTGCGTACCTTCTTTGTCGCTATCGGCCCGTCCGTCCACCACCATATCAGAAACGAAACTCTCCTTCATTTTCTATATGTAATATGTCAATATCCATATTGAAATCATGGTATTCTCTAACAGGTGACAAGCAAAGGTGGAATTAGTTTTCTTTAGCTCAAAACTTTATGTTCGGAGAATCTCCTTTCGAAGTCTTTTGTAGTCCTTCCTATATAAACTTCTGATCACGATCCGCATGTTAGTTTTTAGACCCCTGATTTGTTATCTTTTACCATTTATGATTTATTGTTCTTTATATTTATTGGTACCCCAGAAGTTACAAGGGCCATGTTGATGTTTTCTTTTTTTAGCAGTCTTTCTATTTCATTTGATGATTTTCCTGTATTTGAGAGTGTTTTACAGGTGTTAGTTTTTTGTTTGTGATGTGGGGGTGAACTTGACAAGTTTTTGTCAAGGATATGATTAATCATGTTCGGGTTAAAGTTATTGTAAACTGCAATTTATTTTATCAATTTTAATTCCTCATCAAAATTCTTTATAGACATCGGGATACTGATGATTCTGCGGATCATGTTGTGATAAGCTGCTAATTTATGTTGATGAGGGCGATTAGAATGATTATTGATAATTGTGTCTGTATGGGTTGGTTTGTGGTAATTTCCGAAATAATATTTATTGTAATTGTGAGGTGTAAGTTCATTGAATTATTGGTTTCTAGTTCTGTTTTCAATTATATGATTTGGTGAATATAATGGTTGTATTGAGAAAACTACATTAATTGTTGATGGGTTCCTGTGGAACAGGCTATACCATCGTCAACACACATATACTAATAAATACATTGTTGAAAAATTGATTATTGCTGAAGATTTTTCTCGAAGCTGTCCATAAAACATTTAGCAAGAATAAAGTTCAGAGGCAGAGCCGTACTCTTACCATCTGACCTGAAAGACCACTCACCATACAAACTAATCGGTTTGAGCCACAATAAACCCTCGCGGGTTGCGTTGGAGGGTCGAATAGACCTACTCACTTTGGAGGTAACCTAACTCAACCTATCATTTTAATGCTCTAATAATTCCATATTTCTTGCATTTATATCATCCAATTCATATTCCATCATAATTTTGTTTTCAAATTGTTACTTTCACAGAACACTATTTCGTTTGTCGGTACATAATTTGAATTCTGTTGATAACCTGAAGACGTACGAGCCATAGTTAGACCTGCTTGACGCAATGAAACCCTCATTCACAGCGCATTATAATATAACTAAATTTCTCGGAAAACCGTTTCAAAGCTATTTCAATTATTTGCAAGTTCAATGTGCTCGTGAGTTGTAGATTGCAGTAATGACGGTTTGACACTTTCACATTCCCATTAATATTTGCGGAAAGCGTCAACAATTAATTCAACGTATAAATGAATTACTAAACACTTTACGCTAACGTTGGCTTGGATGTGTGCAAACAATGTCAGCTTGGCCACTATTGCCACTACCAGTGGACGTGAAATATTACCCCTCACATGTAGCACATGGAATGCCTTCAGTTAGTCGGGCATTTATTGCATACCTAACAGAGACGTTTCCAATGACATTCCAAGCATTATTTGTTTTTCGACGTATCTTCGCAAGAAAACATTTCAATTCAGTTGAAGATGTCGATACAACAAATCACCCATTTTTCGAAGGGAAATCGCTGAACATGCTTAAGTCACATAAAATCATTGATGTGGTGGAATTGGCTGATATTCGAAGAAAATTCATAACTTATTTAAGTAACACTGGCAGATTTTCACTGAACAAAACCATTATAAGTGTTTCGCTATGCAATAGCTTCCTCTGGCGTGTCCATACTGACCAAATTCTACCTATTTGTGCTTTATGTAACCTAAGGAAAAATTTAAAGCGAATCTTGAAAATATATTTTCATCTAAGTTATCAATTAGTGAAACAAATCATCTAAAGGAACAATTCTTTCAGGCTAGTCTCAACTCCCTACACTGTAGGTTAATGGACTGACACCCATACAAAACAACTACTCCCCTGGCTAACACCACGAAGGGCGTTGAATTATATCTGACAGGTGTTAGTGCAGGATTCTTCACTGAAGTTATTCGTGCTTATGCTGTTGGCGATACAACTGCCGCAATAGGTTTTCAATAACTGTTATCACAGTTAAGACACAGTTAACACAGTTATCACCCGAAGACGATTGTGGATACTAACAATCGAAACGTCGTGACGTAAGTTGGTTTGAAATCTTTCAATTTTTATAAATGAAAATACATTTAGTAGTAAACGAGTATAAACGAACAATGACAACGTAGATAATCGTACAAACGAGGATTATTTATTTATTCATGAGTATATCATGAACAATATCTCTATTAGTATTATATACATACTTTCTGAAGATGGTTTTCATCAGGTTAATATTTTGTGAATGTATGTTTTGTACAGATGTATGTTTTGCACTGTGGTATTTGTAAGAGTGTTGCCCAATTGACATTTTTGTTGCGTTTAACTGTACATTACCTTTTGTTTTAGTGGGAGTATTATAATCATGACCGATTTGCTGAAGAGATGTTTTATTTTTGAAGATATACAATATTATATTATACATATATAACTGTCGTACATCAAGTACCTTTGAATCTCTAAAAATATAATTAGAGGGGTAGTCATTCTTTCTATTGTACATAATTTTAATAATTTTTTTTTGTTATACCTCAGCTTTTTTCAGGTGGATGTCTAATATGCCACCCCAACTGAGTATGGCATATTGGAGCCTAGATTGTACCAATGAATAGTATAATATTTTGAGGTGATTGATATCGAGAACGGATCTCAAGTACTTGAATTTATACAATAAACATCTCAATAATTTAGTTATTCCTTCAATATGTTCATTCCATCTGAGATGTGGATCAATTGTGACTCCCAGGTATTCAATATGGTCTGTTCTTAGGACTTCTATTGTTTTTTCGTGGTTATTTATTATTAATTCATTATAGTTGGGTAGTTGATTTTCGTAACTTGCAAAGCGTAGAAATTTTGTTTTGTCAAAATTGATTGTGAGTGACTTATGATCAAACCAGTCTTTCAATAATTTAATTTGGGTTCCAACTTTCATTTTCAATTTTTCCCAATCATCATCAGTATATATTATGTCCGTATCATCTGCAAAACTGTAAATGGAACCATTTATCTTCATGGTAAGTAGGCTGTTGATATATAATGAAAATAATGTAGGTCCAATCACAGTACCCTGTGGTATACCATAAGTAATTTCTCTTTCAGAACTGAGGGTATTGTCTACTTTCACTATTTGCCTTCTGTTATTCAAATAACTTCTGAAAAGTAGTTGTGTTTTGCCTCGTATTCCTGATTTATTTAATACCTCCAACAATTGATCGTGGTCAACAGTGTCGAAAGCTTTTGCTAAGTCTAAAAATACACATAATGCCGGCCGTCTCTGATCTATGTGTCCGTTTATTTCCCTTGTTAGTGCATCATTAGTTGAGAGACCTTTTCTAAAACCATATTGTTTGCAAGAAATAAGCCTATATTTATCAATGTATGAAGTTATCCTCGAATTCAGTGCTTTTTCGAATATCTTATTGAAACTTGTTACAAGAGATATTGGCCTGTAGTTACTGCCTGTAGTACTGATGAAATACACCATGAAATATTGTCAACCACCTTCAAACAAATGCAGTGTTTTTCATGAAAAGGCAGCTCAAAAGGAGCAATATGGTGCTAGCTGAAGGCTTAATCAAAAGTCGATTTGATACGTTGACTTTCGCTAAAGAAAAACTGAGGAAGAATAACGTTTGGGCAAACAATTCAAACCTACTTACTGTGGATGATGGAAAGAGAATTCTTCTGAGATCAGATGAAACTATATTGAATTCACGTCAATAGCCGGATATACAAAATAGACACAGCAAAAATACAAAGTTTTTTTTTAATTTAAAGGAATATTGCTTGTTTTTTTCTCGATAGTGTAATATGGAAATATTTCAGCTAGAAATATCAGGGAAAATCTATTGCATTTCTTAATACTAGGTCCTTGATTGACCGTTTTGCAGAATTCAAATCTCTTTTATTAAAATGAAGAGTTACTATTTACAAGTGATGCAAGGAATTTAGGTTTACATTCAGATACAGAACTTTGATTTAGAAAACATATTGACTTTTGTCGTCAAAAGGCTTATTGTTCATGTATCCGCACAATCACTTAAAAAAAGTTAAGTGTCCTGAGTCACTTTAACTTTTGTGATGTTCTGTATGGACCATGTTTAGATAACGATACCAATCGTATAGAGAAAATCAGAAATCGCATCTCAGATTGATCTACGGTATTCGCAAATATGATCCAATATCTCATAAGCTGAGAAACGCAAAAAGGTTCAAAATGCGAGATCGTAGAAAACTTCATTTTCTCATTTTGACCCATTCATTAATCAATAAATAGTATCGTGTTTCATATTCTCATATATGCATTTTTTGTCATCTTTTTTGAAATATTTATATTGGACCCTGTGAAAAAATTATTAGGAATCGCACGTTGAAAGGTAAGACCCAAAAGACGCCCAACAGTTCCTTCGTTATCTTTTAGAAGGTTAACATAAAGACGTTAATATGCGGGTTAATTAATGAGAAGAATCATAAACCAATCTTAACGAAGACTAACAAATAATTGAGCGACGGCGGAAATGCATAAGTCATGGCTCCCATATTTGAGAATGCATAACTTTAATATTAAAGATAATTTCGTTGGTAAATTGAAATCCACGATGAAATGCAGACACTGTGGCCAGTAATCAGTAATCTTTGATCCATTCTGGGATTTGTCTCTCTCCATACCACAAAGAACCGACCAATGGGGAATGTTCCTCCTGACGAAAATCAAGTAGTTTTCATAAAAGAGCTCTGAAACAACGCATTTCAAACTTATCATTTCAACCTTTCCCTTGAAAAAATTATTTAAATTCTCAAAAGAGAGGAATGAAATAATGCATTCAACATTAAAAGGGATTCGTTTCTTTTTCACCATTTGGCAACAACGGTTATAGCTAATAAAGGTCAATGAATCTGTTACCTGTATGAGTCAAACAAAGATGACATATTTCAGAGGTGTGCTGTTCTGTTTACTTATGTTCCGAGTTCCGAGACATTCTGTGAGATATGACATTTTGTGCACATAACCTATCTTCCTCTATATAAATAAATAACAAAACAACTGTTGTTTAGGTGGCTTGTGAAGGTGGTTTTGAACTATAATTTATATTTTGCCTTAATTGTTGATTTATAAAGATAATTTTCCTTTTTTAAAGTAGAATATCTAGGTACGTATAAATTATTTCAATTTGATATAGGCGTTGTTGCCAATATGTGAATTAGAAACAGATCCCTTTGAAAATTAAAATTTAACATTTGAAACATCAATTTGAATACTTTTCGAAGTTTATTTGAGAAACTCATGAATTAAACCCAACTTTATTTTGTTCAAACTTGCATTTGCTGTAATAACCCAAATTGAGGAATATTCCCCATTGACTTTTTGGCAATTCTTGAATTCGATCACAATAGAATAAAAATGAAAAACCGACTTATTCGAAATGCAAGGAAAGGAGAAAATACACAAAGTCCCTACGAATCCACAAGTTTTTCCATACTTTAGTAATTAATTTGAAAAGATTCTGTCCAACGGAAACATTTAGAGGCAAATTGAATGTTGTCATCAAATTTCCTCTAGAAGGAAGGATTGGAAATTTTCCACAGTATAATATACCTACATCGATTGTTAAAAAGCCTAATCCAAAACTTCTCATTACACTTGTCTAATAATTGTTGAAACATTGAAGGGAACATTGCTTTTTGAAAATATGATACGAAAAAATATATTGCCTGGTTCTGATATTGAATATTCGATTATTGGACCTAAAAATTTCAAAATCACAAAATAAAAAAATTCATGTTTATGAGACATCTAGATATATTAATATTAAAGTGACTTACACCATTTTTTGCAATATAAACTACAAAAAACCACTCACCTCCATCCTCAATCCTTTCCGCTTCAAACTCTGCCGGATCCAGAATAGTGGAAATCGTATCGGTCCTAATAGTCGTCCTCCTGATCGGTACGGAAGACATTGTAAATAACTCCAAGTGTTTTTTTGATAAGGGCAACACGCCCTCGTTGTCGTTTATTATGTCATCGTCTTCTTCAGAAGTTTCCTTCGCGTGACGTTCAGAAGTATCTTTCGAGTAAGCGTCGTTTCCGCTGGGATCGTCGGTTGTTTCCCGATGATTCTCCTCGTTGTCTTCGAAGATATTCGAGTACGTTTTGCCCTGGGGGCTCACCCTTAACTGCACCACTGCCAGGGTGCTGACGGGCCATGTTTTGCTGTGATTTAAAGTCATCTTGCGGTGACGCTACGTCGATCATGTCTCTATCAATCAGAAGATGTTGTTTTCCCTAGCAATTTTTTGGGGAACTGCGAACGATACAGGATGGTCTGTATGCGATGGATTAATTTTGGAAGTGTTGCAATATGAGGCGGAGGAATTGCAGAAATGGGGTAATAATTTTATCATCAATTCTGCTCTTGTGATAAAAAATGGATTCTGTCTGGTGGCTCAATTCGGAACAACACCCAGATCCATAAAACGGCCATTTCAAAATGTTAACGAATTTGGATTTCGAAAAGCTTTTTTATTTTTAGCCCGATTTTGATCATTTTTTCAATAAATTGTAGCAAATTTATCTCAAAATGATTCACGTCAGAAAAATTTCCTAAAGAAACCCGAATTATACCCAACCACCCACTTTGGACTGAATTCATCCCCACTTTGCATCAGGAGTACAAGTATCAATACCCAATACTCCTTTGATAACAGCCTGAAATATTTGACACTTTCAGATCAATGAAAAAGAATTAAAGTTAAAGATATAATCAGTGCTATAATTGATCCACTTGCCCGTATTCGATGAACCAGTCTTTCATACAAGAGTACTTCCAAAGGAATTTCGGAAGGCTTTGGTAATTTCTCTTATTGAAAAAGGAAACTGTGCTGAGATTGATAACTATAGACAGATTTCTCCACTATGCTCGCTCTCAAAATGGTATGAGAAAATTGTAGCCTCCAAATTAATGAAGTATGTAGAAATCAACAACCTGTTATGTAACAATCAACATAGCTTCAGGAAAAATCGTTTCATAGAAACAGCTCTATTTCACTTCCTCAACAATATATATTCCAACTTGGATGTTGGTAACTTTCTTACAAGGATATTTTTCGTTAAGACACCTTGTCAGATGAGTATGCCGTTGAACTGGGCATTCCTCAGGGCTCAGTTTTAGGACCATTATGATTTATTATATATGTGGATACGTGAGAGACTCCTACATAACGATGTTTGCAGATGGCACCACTGTTACAGTCACTGGACATCTAATAGATGATGTGGTAGCGAAAATTAGTAGCATTAATGATGAATTCTCTTCTTGGTGTGAACACAAACGCCTAGTCTTGAACACCTCAAAATCAGAAACAATGAAATTTCATTACAGGAAAAATCGTCTCCAATACCCCTGATTGATGACGCGAACATCACTTGCAACCTCAATAGTCTGGAACATCGAAGGTTGGAGATTTATGTTTCTTTTATAGATACTTCCACGAAAAGTGTTCAAGTGACTGGGTACAATCGATTCCACCAAGAGCGGTACATATCAGACATACGCGACGGACTTTGGCTGCTCATCGCTTGGAGGTTCAACTCAGTACACCTCGAACTTCACTGATTAGGAACTCCTCCATTCAAAGAACGGCGTTTATGTGGAATGAACTTCTTGGGAACGTTTTTCCAAATGAGTTGAATTTTCAGCAATTTATTTGCAATAGGAATCGCTACTATAGCACAGGTACTGCTCTTAGAGCAACTTAAAGCTTTTTTATAGTGCTTGTGTTTTGTCCTTCATGATAATCTCCTACAACGTGCTAACGGCTACATTCATCAATTTATGGAGAGACAATAATCTTTGAGCCAATGTCTATTCGAAAAGTCGAATATTCACGTAGATGATCCCTGTATTTTAGTTTTCTAATCAACTCATATACTATATTTGAAGGATAGGTACCTATTGTTTTCAGCTATATCCCTGATAACATTATTCTCAATATCATATCTTTCTTCACTCTTCAATAGAAACGTTAAAAGCATAGGGACACGCAAGTTAAGTCCTGTCATTTTGTTTTGTGGACAATGATATGAACTTATATTACTGGAGTTTTTTCCCAACACCAAACCGTTATTTTAACCCCTCGACACGTGTTTCGATCACCAAGTGATCATCTTCAAGAGGAAGATTAAACTGGGAAAAATCTCCAGTAATATTCATTACCACACCAAAGGTTCTAAACAGTGCATCACAAAAATCAGGAATATATTCAAAAGTACTGGTATTTCTTAGAGACAGCAAATTCTAGACTCTAACCACAGAGAAATCTCAAAATAGTAACTCCTCGCAATTTTCAATTTCATATACAAACACAATATTTGAGAATCTGACTCCTTCACCTTAGATTTCTTCGAATGCATCGTATACATTTCGGATCCAAATCCGTGTAAAGTAATCTAACATCTGCTTTACCACTCTACGCAAAAATGTCAAAAATAACTAATAATCCTGTAGTCCCTAATAATGTCATGTCACTTGGTTTCTGTTCTCCACCACCATGGACCATAAAGATCCCATCCTGTAACATCCAACTCTCCACCCACAGGAAAAATGATATCACACCAAGTTTTATCCAGAAAACTTTCTCTGAAATAATCTCATTACAAGAGATACGGAGCTTGCATACCGTAGGCCATCAATCTGTAGTGTTCATACAGGTGAATTATACGCCATAGATCAAGCCGTAGCATACTGTGAAAGACTTGAAGGCAACTCTGTTATTATCACCGATTCTCTCAGCGCAATTCATGGAATCAAACAGTTATACCCAAAGAATTCACTACTTGTCCGTATAAAGGAAAGGATATCCAAGCTAATGCAGAATCAAAAATGTATTAAACTAATCTGGATACCTTTCCATACTGGAATCAGAGGCAATGAGAAAGCCGATGCAGTCGCTTGCAATGTTACAGTTACTCCTTTCGCAACACTGTTTGAATAAATTTCCCACTCAGATTACTTTAAAATCATAAAGAAACTAATAACAAACACTTGGAAAGAAAGATGGATGGCCATGGAATCAAATAAATTACGTGAGATAAATCTCTACATGCGCTTCCAGAACTACCAATCAGCCCAACGAAGACATCAAGTCATTCTTACTCGCCTCAGAATCGGACACACAAGACTTACACACCAACACCTTATGAAGAAAGAAGATGCTGCGGAGTGTGATATTTGTGGTGTGATCAACAGTGTGAAACACATTATCCTGGAGTGCCCAGTTTTTGAATATGAAAGGCAAGAAGCAAGAATTCCAGTGATCTCAATTCTGCCCTAGACGTGGTGAACTTGAACTATTTAGTAACCTTTTTGAAATCTATTCATATATTACATAAGATATAATTATACCTAATTGTTCCTCCCCGCTAATGACCCTTCGCGGTTGATGCGGCTATTTTTGAAATAAAAAAAAATCCAACATGCAATACATATTCAATTTTGGAGATAGGTAAGGTACAGTGTCGCTCAACATGACCTTGGAGACTAGCAATGGAATAAATGTATATCTGGACCTGTACGTTAAGGAGGTTGCGTTAATGGCCATGGTACGATTGCGCACGGCTTGTGTAAACCTCGAAGTAGGAATGGGTCAATTCAGGCTGGGACTATGGCGAGAAGCGCTTACTGCGCAACCTCTGCTGCAGGCAACCGGAGATGCAATTGAACCCAGGTTAATGTTTAATAAACCCTACAAAATACAAATAGAACAGAACACAGAGTGAGATGCTGCAAATGCAATACGCATATATACAGACGGCTCAAAAACCAAGGAAGGCTCAGGATGTGGAGTGTACTCCAGATCACTAAGCCTAAGGATTGAGTGGGAAGTGGGAAAAAATACCAGCATGGTTCAAACAGAACTGGCTGGTATCTCAATCGCCACAAAAGAAATAACCAGGAAAGGAATTTCTGGGAAAAACATAACAATCTGCACTGATAGCAGACAAGCTCTATTAGCCTTGAACAGACGTGTTACTTCAGGGCTAGTACTAAAGTGTCACCAAGATTTAGCCAAAGCCTCGGTAGATAATAACATCATCCTGAGGTGGGTTAAAGGAGTAAGTGTAATCTCATTGCCGACTCTTTAGCCAAGGAAGCGGCTGGACTAAGAATTTCAGGATCCAGTGGCACCTAGGGCCTGATAACTTCGACAATTGCGGAACCAGCCAAATGTTACACCCATGCTCAATCCCTGAAGAGATGGGATGGAATCGAAGGATATAATCTTGCCAGGATCACCTTGGGCGACCCTGGAGAGCTGGCGCCGAAGAAATATTTGGCAATGACCAGGAAAAATCTACGCTCAACAGTAGGATTTCTGACTAGCCACTGTCAACTAAGAAAATATCTTCATAATATGGGGCTAGTGGACACACCTCTCTGCTGGATGTGTGAACAGAAAAATGAAACTGTCAGGAATGTCCTATGTGCCCGGAGTTATCGTTAATAAGAGAGTGTGTGTTCGACGAGTCTTGGCCTACACCTGCCGATATAAAGGAGATGTCTCCCAATGACCTGTCCACCTTCCTGGAAAGGACAGGATGGACGATGACCTAAGAGGACATCTCCTCGGGAGGATGTACAATGGGTCACATGTGGCCTAAGTTCTGTGAGTCTACACTCACCCTCCCTACTCTACAGATATGGATACAGAAAGTATATCTGAAATTGTTGACATCGGTACACGACAAAAAAGACTCCGAAAGACTAGAAATAGCAAATATTAGCTTGAGAACAATGAACTTAGGCAAAACTCCCATTTTGAACAGCCCATTGTTAACCTTTTCATGAATCACTTTGTAAAAATCAGCGAGAACCTCAATGTGGAAATTTTTTTCGAATTTCCACGCGAAATTATTGTTGTGAAGTGAAGTAAAGTGAAAGAAAAACCTATCAGATATTAATAGAAATCAGTTCTATGATAACTGATGGCTGATGGCTGATGAAGCCAACCTGGTTGGTGAAACGCGTGTCGGGAAGAGGGTTGCAGTTCTGATGTTTGGGAAAAGTGCTTGTTTTGTCTCGTTACACGCCTGACGTCCCAGTTCAACCCCATATTATATCTTGTTTTATGCGATGAAAAATATATTTTCAATTGAAACCAAGCAGCTTACATGGTTTGTATCCATCGTCAGACCATCCTGTATGAAATCACACTAGCAAAGAAAACTGTAATCATCGCCCGCTCCATCATTTTCAACTACGGAGTCGTTAAATTGAAAATTGTCGGATCCAGTGA